TTTTTTAATTGAAAAATATTGCAAATTTTTTGAAATTTTTCAACTCAGCTGTTAATGTTGATCAAGAATATATAATATTTACTTTATAGGGTCGCAAAAAATTCCTCCCAGTGTTTTATGCTTAAAATTATTATTACCTTACAAAGGAAATAAAACTAAGGAAAATGCATTAAAAATTATAATTTTATTAATTAAAAAATATAATGAATACAGTTTTATTTGATATTTATCCCCATATTTTCCTAAGATTATTTTCGAAAGAGAATTCAGTTTTCAATTAGATTTTCGTCGAATTATTCAAAATTGGTTCGTGTCCCAACTAAGCACCTCGCCAGACGTCACAGTCTTTGGCTTAAATTTGTTGATATTGCAGATATTTTCATTATTTTTTTGCTGCTTTTGTTTGGACAAGATTTAGGGAGCCGATGATGCGCATTCCATTCCATTCCATTGATGAGCTCACAGCATCAGCAGCTAAGGCAAGGCATCAGGTGTTTGCTTTACTTTGCGCGTACTACAAGTAGTAGATGGATTTGTGTATCTTTGGCAATCACATGACTGTGTTCAAGAGCCAAAGCACTTTCCGAATACCTTCATACAGTCAAGCATACCGAATGAGAACTCTGTATTTAAATATAGAAATATATATTTTAGATAATAAAAGGGAAGTTGCTTAAGAAGAGATACAAATTAAGAGGTTTATTCGTTTGTTTTCCTAACATTTATTTATAAGAGAGTGAGCTTACTTTGAGAAGCTGGTATAATAAATGTATTTATATGGCAAATTTTTAGGTAATTAAAAGTTTATCAAATATTATAACTAAGCCAAAAATGTATTATTTGAATTTTGATAACATTTGCACTGCATTTTTGGTTTAAGCATTTCAAAAATTCAAATTTTTGATAACTTTTGATCATTTTAACCCCTTATCTTTTTTTTGCAAAAATATTAAAAAAAAAAAAAAATTTCCAACCGGACATAGATCGATTCAGCTTTTGATATTGATGGGGTCGGAAAGGACCCTTCACAGGGTTTTAAGCTTCTGACTGGATTTATAATACCCTGTAAGGGTATAAAAATAACATGTTTCTAGCCTAAATATATAAGAGATATTTGACTCCTTGACAGTTTGGTCTATTTTAAAAGACTCTAAAACAAGATTACATTATTTGATACACCAAATACTTTTGTGTAACTTTTAAGTTTATTTCAAGCTAGTTTCCCATGCAGTTTCGCTCTAGAAGTTGCACTTTACCTTTTTTTTATAAATTTTACCGTACGTAGGCGATCGGCGTATATGGGGCGGGAGGCCTTGCAAAAATTCCAACCCAATGAGGAAGGGATGGGATGCAGCTCAGGCTGCAGCTTTTTTTTTCCTGTGTGTACCTTGTGGGAGGAGCAAGCCCATCGAGTATGCCGCACAGATATATTTTTAGCCATTTGCGGCACGATCTCGACAGGGAGGCGGCCCACGCCCAGAGTCCACAGCCCACAGCTCACGGATCGGATGGGATCGGATCGTAGCTCTCGCTGATCGCAGCTCTCGGAGATCTCAGATCATCATATGGCATCCAAACTGTGGAAACTGCACCCAGGTGAGCGAGAGAAAGAGAGAGCGTGTTGGCAGCGGAAATCGTTAGCTGAATCTGAATCATGCCGTAAAATATTCCCCACATGCACCCAGGGACAGTGCGTTGCAAAACTATAAAGCCACTGGGCCACACACACTCAGCCGAGATCGTGTCAATACTTTTACTGCCCACTGTTTCCCCATTTATGGCTCTGTGTGATGCAGCTGCAAAGGCTAATTAAAATAGCAATCCAAATAAAGTAATTACGGTTCAATGTTAATCTCTTTCGGAGATTCGCTGGCCAAATGTGGGATTTCTGGCATAAAAGGAGCTACAATTGCCTTTGATTTTTACAAATCTCATTGTGAAAATTGTATGGGTTTCCCAGGCTAAGGAAAAACTTACCAAATACACTTCACTTGGATAAAAACTATTGAACAAGCAGGTTTAGTTATTGCTTTATTTAAAGAAGTCTTAAGAGATATGTAACTCCAAAGTTAACTTATCAAATCAGGTCAGTTGTGGGAAATTAAATCCATTATCGAATTGGGTTAGAACTGCGAGATAAAGGTAATCTGGTAATCGCATTCAATAAGTGATGGAACACGTTCTCCTCTAGAACTGAACTTGTTTTTTATTTAGCGCAATTAGCGAGATGAATGTGGTGTATTTTAGATAATGAAATAAGATCGCTTGTGAAAAAAAAATTAACTACAAAGAACCAGGGGAATGCGGAAATATGTGTACTAAAGATAATAATTTCACAGCAGGGTTTAGTTTTGTTTCAATACTGATTTAGGTTTATATGATATAACATTGAGTATATAATTGAGTTTGCAAAAACCAAATCTTGTATCCGCTGATGATATAAATAGTTGTGAGTGCAAGTCCCTTGTTAACATGTGAATTATGATTGGAATCAACATTAGTTTTCGATTCTCATTTATGATTGGAAATATTATTTAACGATGCTGCCGTTGCATCTTTTGTGTGCTCCGCATGCCGACCAGGTAAGGGCGTCCTCCTTTGACTTCCTTTTCGTGTTTGGAGAGTTTCACATAAAATGGTTCTTTATGGCAACCGGCTAACACACATAGCACACACACGTAAAGAGAGGGAGAGATTGCTTTGTTCTGGACTGCCAGTTTGTGCTTTTTTTTTTTTTCCACTTTTGGGTTTTGCTGAGTGCCAAGCGCGTGCACTTGGCGCCAACTTGGAGCCGCCACATTGCCTTGCCCCTCGAGCAACCATGTACCGGGAGGAGGCCCAGCCCTCCTCCTCCTCCTCTCTTCCAGGCTTCCGCGGTTCGTTTCATAATTTGGATTCCCCTTTTTTTTCGGTCTCTTCTTGGCCTGCAAGAAATTCATAATTTGTCTGCAACGCCGAGAGGCTACCGTGCTACGTGGCCATCTTTTGCCTCTGATTTTTCCCCGGCCAAAAGGCAAAGGCGCAGGCACAAGAAGCAACAGGTATTTGGCGAATAAAACTTGGCAAGACTCGAATGAAAAGCGAAACAATTGAGTATATAACATACATATGTATATATGTATAGTATATATCTCGCGGGAAACGCGTGGCGACAGCAACCAAACAGCAGCTGTCGCTGGCTATTAAATTGTAATTAAATTATTATCTCGCCACAGCGGAGGGCGTGGCCAAAAAGGCAGGCAACATCCGCCAATTTGTTTGGCTTTGCCTCGGCTTTAGCCAATTGCCAGTATCAACTGTTGTGCCGCAGTGGCATGCAGTTTTGCAGGCATGTGTCACTTGTTGTTTTTTTCACAGCCTTGACTACACACGCGACCTGGTACCAGGTATTGCTCCCAAAATATACAAAAAATAAAATAAGTACGCTCAACATTCCGCCAGTCTCATTCATTGTTGGGCAATGTTCGCTTGGATCGTTAATCAGTGGAATTGTATCTTTTAGAGCCGTTTACACATGGCCATTAATGGCTCTGCAACTGCGATCTCGTTTTTCGTGTGAATGTTGTGGCTTTGATGGATTTGCTGAGGTCTCTCGTAACGATCGTAAATAAGCGAATTGGAATTTGAGATTTTGTTTTCTTAGAACGATAGAGAGAGAGAGAGATTCCGAGCCAATAAACAATAATGGGAATCGGAAAGCCTTATCGAGTCAGCAAAACAAATACACTGAACTATTCTCTCCAGCAGACCAAATCCATGACACACATCCGTTTTGGCGAACAATCTTCACTTTACGACTTCTAAATGGGCGACGGCGTTATAAAAATCTTCTAAAAATATGCTAAATACTTTGCACAGTCTGTCATGGGAGGGGTTTTACAAACAAATCACCATTTGCTGCCTGCCACAAACCATAAAAAATATGACTTTAAAGGCGTTTTTATGAATGAACTGAATGGCAAAACAGCGAATGCAATTAAAACTAGGAAAATGCATTGAGCAGGTCGGGGAGCAGACAGCTCTCCAGCTCCCCAGCTCTCCAGCCAACCATGGGAACATCCATCCATTCATCCACCCACCACTCGAGTGGACGTAACTCAGCCATCTAACGGGTGTCTCTGCGGCGGGAAAAAACGCACTTAGTCCACTCGAATGGCTGTCGCAGGCGGTTTAAGCGGCCATAAATCTCGCGTCCAATGGCCCGACGCCCACCATAACGGTTGAGCCGCTTGCTCATGTGCTCCGCTTTCCTGCTCCACACTCTTGGAGTGTCCAACAGTAGGAACTACTGGGCACTGGACAACGGAGCTACCGAGCTACCAAGCAGCAGCAGCAGCAGCAACGAGCTTGTAATTAGTTGGCAGATTTGCCAGCGACCTGAATCAATTGCCCGAGTTACCGTTACCCCCCGTTAGGCCCCACCCACCCAGAGCACCCCACTTGCAGCTGCCACTTACCACTTCCACTTGCAACTGCCGCAGTAGCCACAGCAGCCACAGCGGCCCACTCTTCATGCTCAGACGCATTTTCACGCAACGCTGCTCTTAGGCGGCTTACGAGCGGTTTAAATCGCCAAGTCAGGCAAAGCCAAAGTGAAGGCTTAACGATTTATTCATTTATTATTATTAAGTTATTTATTAAAACGTTATTTGATCAAGAATATTCTCAAAATAAAGATTTGAAATGTTTTTTAAGCAATTATTAACCATAATTATGGAAAACCGGTCCAACTGCTGCCATTGATTGGCTTTAAGGAGAGGTTAAGCCAACTTCCTCATCAAGTTTAAGTGCTTTTTAAGCTAGTAGAACCTTAGCTGGAACTATAGTTATTACCTACTCACTTAATCTGCAGCCTGTTCTACAGACTTCCAAGTAATCAAAGAAACTGAGAACCGATTTAATAGCAAAGCACTAAAGTTTCCTACTTGCAAATATCTATAAAAAAACCTTAATCCCGAAAAAGATACTTATGCAAATGTAAACCTTTTCCCCATTTACAGCCCGCTCATTGACCTGCTACTGCGATGGCAGCTGTCCGGACAATGTGATCAATGGAACCTGCGAGACCAGACCCGGAGGCAGCTGCTTCAGCGCTGTCCAGGAGCTGTACGATGAGACGACTGGCTTGTATGAGGAGGAGCGCACATATGGATGCATGCCACCCGAAGAAAACGGCGGCCTTCTAATGGTGAGTTTTCTTTATTAAATCTTAAAATACAATCATTTACTAATAGTTCTTATGCCTCGTTATAGTGCAAAGTGGCCGTCGTCCCCATCTGCATGGCAAGAACATTGTCTGCTGCGACAAGGAGGATTTCTGCAACCGCGACCTGCATCCCACATACACACCCAAGTTGACCACTCCGGCGCCAGATCTGCCCGTGAGCAGCGAGTCCATGCACACGCTGGCCCTCTTCGCCTCCATCGTCGTCTGCCTGTCCGTTCTAATGATGATCCTGTGCAGCGTCTGCTTCACGTACAAGCGACGCGAGAAGATGCGAAAGCAGCCACGTCTCATCAGCTCCATGTGCAACTCGCAATTGTCGCCGCTGTCGCAGCTCGTGGAGCAGAGCTCGGGCTCCGGATCGGGACTGCCGCTTCTGGTGCAGCGAACCATTGCAAAGCAGATCCAGATGGTGCGACTGGTGGGCAAGGGACGGTATGGCGAGGTCTGGCTGGCCAAGTGGCGGGATGAGCGAGTGGCCGTCAAGACGTTCTTCACCACCGAGGAGGCTTCCTGGTTCCGCGAGACTGAGATCTATCAGACAGTGCTGATGCGTCACGAGAACATCCTCGGCTTCATTGCAGCCGACATCAAGGGCAATGGAAGCTGGACACAGATGCTATTGATTACAGACTACCATGAGATGGGCAGCCTGCACGATTACCTCTCCTGTCGGTGATTAATCCACAGAAGCTACAGCTGCTGGCCTATCCCTGGCCTCGGGCTTGGCCCACCTGCACGACGAGATCTTTGGAACACCAGGCAAACCGGCGATTGCCCATCGTGACATCAAGAGTAAAAATATACTGGTGAAGAGGAATGGTCAGTGTGCCATTGCTGATTTCGGACTGGCGGTCAAGTACAATTCGGAACTGGATGTGATCCATATTGCACAGAATCCCCGGTAGGCACACGGCGTTACATGGCCCCAGAGGTGCTGAACCAGCAGCTGGATCCCAAGCAGTTCGAGGAATTTAAGCGGGCGGACATGTACTCGGTGGGTCTGGTGCTGTGGGAGATGGCCCGTCGCTGCTACACACCCATTTCGACCAAGACGACCACCTGCGAGGATTACGCCCTGCCCTACCACGATGTGGTGCCCTCGGATCCCACGTTCGAGGACATGCACGCGGTAGTTTGTGTCAAGGGCTTCCGGCCGCCAATACCATCGCGCTGGCTGGAGGATGATGTACTGGCCACCGTCTCCAAGATCATGGCGGAGTGCTGGCATCCGAATCCAACCGTCCGCCTGACGGCGTTGCGTGTGAAGAAGACGCTGGGGCGGCTGGAGACGGACTGCCTGATCGATGTGCCCATGAAATTGTCTAGAGTCCCGCCGTTTTAGGTTTGACCTAAGTTGCATTTAGTTTTTCTGTTTTCTATTGATGAATGAATGAATGAATGCCTTGTTGTTCCAACCGGAACATCCTCTAGTTAGGTTCTAAACGTAAGCAGCCTGTACTTGAGCGGAGCAAGGCAGAGAGGATTATCCTCGAGAGGTGCCTATTCTACCGATTACTTTAATCGCTGCACTGATTGTAGGCTAGAGCTTAGGGTTAAAGCTTCGATATAAGTTGAGTTTAGGAGCATGGTAGGCTCCCCTGCAAAATCTTTGGTTAGAAAAATGCTTTAACTATTTGAGAAATATATAGGGAGTATATATATATATATATATTTATGTAAATAAGTAATTGAACTAAAATCAATCGGAATCGAAATTTAAATGTAACATAAAATATAGTTTTTGTGCCAGCTTTTGTACGCTTTATTAACGTTACAAATTAAGCCCCCTGAGGCCTTAGCCTCCACATACAACACATTTATATATTTATATACTGTATATGCATATGTATTTATGTGTTATGTTTGTGCTTAGTGATTAAGTAACACAGACTTTGCCGACTTGTGTGTGTGCAAGTGAATGCTGCCTTTTGTAAAATCCATGGAATTAGTTGCCTTAAGACACGAGTGTAAAGACAGGAGAATACCAGACAGAAGGATACCAGCCTGACCCAACCTTCCTTTTCTATATTAGCATATATTTTGCGTACTAGAGATATACAATATGTAGAACCTGAAGTAGTTCGGTTCCTTTTGTTTTCCTTTCTTTTTTGTTTTCCCTTTTGTAAATAGCAAAGATGTTTATAGGCCGCTAATCATACAGATACATATAGTATATATAAATTATATATTATCGTTATAAGCGATTCTGTAAATACTATATATGTTATGTATCTTTATCTGTAACCGTATATCTTATCTCTTATCGTTCTTGTATCGCGTAACCTTGTTTAAGCTAGAGTTAGACAGTAATCGCTAGCCCCTAAGAACAACGATTAACGAGTAATGTAAGCTAGTTGGATATGTATCTATAAGGCGATATTTCAGTTCAGTTTAGTTTCTTTTCTGTTTCATTATTACTGCGCGCAGACCACAAGAACTAAAGTTTGTATTAAAGCGTTTAGTTAATTTATTTAAAAATAATAAAAAATTATTATTAAACCCAAAAGCTTCATTCTATAATGTTTGTTAATATTCTTTGGTCAGCAAGCGCGATTCCTCTAGTCGCCTGTCATCATCTCCATGAATTCTGTGATTACAAAGAGGAAAATAAATATTAATTTCACACATTTCACACACTAATGTTAAAAGAGCAGCCAACCGTCAAAGTCCACGGTACCGGAGCCATCAGTATCGATCTCAGCAATGATGCCATCCAGATCGCTGGAGGACAGCTTGTCATCGAGGGCGGCGAGGATTTCCTTGAGCGTTGAGGTGGTGATGTAACCATTGCCCTCGCGATCGTACAGACGGAAGGCCTCCTTCAGCTCCTTCTGAATGGCCTCGGCGTCCTCCTCCTCCAGGAAATGGGCGGCGATGTTGCAGAAGCCATCGAAGTTCACCTTACCGGTATCCTCCGGATCGTTCTCGTCGATCAGATCCTGCAGTTCGCTCTCCTCGAACATCTGACCCATGCTGTTCAGGATGGTCTTCAGCCGCAGGGTCTCAATGAAGCCCGTCTTTTGTGTGTCGAACATTTGGAATGCCTTGCGCATGATGTCCATCTTCTCGTCGTCCTCCTGCGGTTACCAAAATTAGCCCACATTCGATTGCACAATCTCTCCCAGCGATAGATACCATTTTGTGCGCGAGTGTCAGTCAGTGTGTAGTATCTGTGTGCGACAATAATTGCGAGCAAAGAACCGCGTCGAGTCCGAGTCCAAGTCCGAGTACGAGTATCTCCAATGCGTTCCAACTGCGTTGGCCTGCGGGCGCGCACTAAACCGATCGCCTGGCCAAGATCATTATTTATAAACAACAAATTTCGCTTAGTGGAAGCGTCACTCATACGCAGCGTACACCTCGGCAGCGGTGGCAGAGGCAGCAGTGGCAGAGGCATCCCAAATCCATGGGTTATTGTTGGTTTGCCTTTCGGCAAAGCACTTTATTAACAGCCATTGGAATGCGACCTGGCGGAGGTGGAGGCGGATGCGGAGACTGATTCTGGCCAGACGCGCTGATCTAAATCAGATCAAAGTGTTACAGGTGCACTGCCTGTTGGCGGATAGGGATCTCGGCTACGGGATCGTGTATTTGGGGGTTCGGTGTCGGCTGATGCCTAAGGTCGGCGGCAGAACGGCGACGTCATCTCCATCATCTTTGGCGCTGGCAGCCGGAAAAACGAGCGCACACAGCGCACGCCACAATTATGCAAAGAGCAGCAGCAGCAGCATCCATATTGGGCTACACAGATACAGATACGGATTCAGATACAGATACAGATGGGAGATACACCCTCGCCTCCCACAACGTATCGAAGTGTGCGTGCGTGCCTGGTCGGTCGGTCACTCAGTCAGTCACTAAAAATCGACTATAAACGTCTTCACAATCAGTCACAAAATCAGCGCGATTTTCTCACGGTAATTGTATTTTTAGTACTTTATAGCAATTTTTGTCCATATGATCATGAGTGGGCCAGATGCCTCCGCTGGTTTCCACAGGCTCATAGCTGCTGCTGCTGCTCCTCCTCCTACTACTGCTGCTGCGGTTAACCACACACGCACACCCCAGTCCCCAGTCGCGTCGCGCAAATTGTTTTCTGCGCAAAAAAATGTTGATTTGGTTTTATATTTTTGCTTTAAAACAAACAAACAGGCATTCAAACTGGCAAATGGACATCAGGGGCGAGATGGACAACAGGCCACAATGGACGGTATAGTGGGTTTTTTTTTTTTGTTTTGGACTTTTGGGTTCTCATTCGCGGATAGTTCTCTGTCCGTGTGTAACCTTCCGGCGGCGACGGTTGCCGCATTTTTTGGCAACAGCAAAAGGCAAAAGGCAAGGCAGGCAGTAGCCGGTTGCTTGGCAAGAGCAAGAGCCACCGCAACTTTGATGGTCATTTGATTTTTATTATTTATGACAAAACGTGAAACACTTTTGGAATGTCCCGCGACAGGTGGGGGGGGGTAGGGAACGGGTTGAGTGCACTCACACACCGACGACAGTTCGATTGTTTTTGCATAGTTCTCAAAATGTGTGTGCTTCCTCATGTGTATACATAAATAGCTCAAGTGGAGGGGACCACAGACGTGGCGCAAGTTCTAATTCGGATGCTGACAGTTTGGTGGCAAGAAATTTAAGGCTAGATTTACGACGTAATTACCAGAACGAATTGAACTCGGAACCAGGAGCATACTTTGTATGCGTGACTCAATACTTATGCCCTTAATATGATTTCAGAAGCTTAAAACCCTGTGAAGGATTCACTTTTCACAGCATAAATCATATTTTTATTTTTGATCAATAAGATATATGATTTATAGGCTCGGAAATGACTCCTTCACTTTCTTTAAGCTTCTGACTGAAGGTGCAATCCATTTTTAATTGATATTAGCATATTTGTATACCTTGCAGGTATTATAATTCAGTCAGAATTGCAACGCAGTGAAGAGCACCTCCGACTACATAAATATATATCTGATCAGATCACAGCCGAGTCGATCTAGCCATGTCCGTCTGTCCGTCGTCCGTCTGTCCGTTTCTACGCAACTAGTCTCTCAGTTTGAAGCTATCTGAACGAAACTTGAGTACCTTCTATATACTCTCACTCGTAATATGTCGAACGGCCGGATCGGACGACTATCATATAGTGCATAGAATGATCGAAATTTTACAAAAAATTTTAACTTTTTCAGTTCATAGAATGGATCAATTTGAGATATAGCCATTTTCATACTCTACATTTGCATAAATTTATGAAATCGGACTACTATATCATATAGCTCCATAGAACGATCGAGAAATTAATACAATTAATTTATAACTTTTTCTGTATTCAGCTGATTTTCATCAATTTGAGTATAGCCATTTTATATTAGTCTTAAATTTAGTGTCAAATTCATGAAATCGGACGACTATATCATATAGGTGCCATACAAACGATCGTTAGATGTAGAGAAAATGCAAATCTGCGAATGTAAAACTGCAAATATAATATGTATAGTGAATGAAATGAAAGAGGTATTATTCATTGTTTTTACACAAATAAATATAATTTATATGTTGAGATTCCAAGTCATAGAAGTTCTATCTGCAAGGTATAAACTTCGCGTGCCGAAGTTAGCTTCCTTTCTGTTTAATTGATATATCTATATTTTATATGCAAATTTGACTACAAATCAAGTGTAAAAATGTCATAACTAAGCCAAAAATGCATTAATTTCAATTCGGAAAGCGCTCGCATGTTAATTTTTAGCAGGTTAATAAAACTGTATACTCCATTTAAAATGTGAATTTTTGGCCAATTTTTGCTAAAAATCAAATTTTAAAAAATGCATAACAAAGCCAAAAAAACGTTAATTTTAATTCGGAAAGCTGTCCCGTGCTAGTTTTATCACGTTAACAAATCTGCATACTCAAAGAAAAATGTTTCTAAATGAAAATGACTGAAATTATAATCCCATTCTTTAGTAGGTATTTTGTATATTTGTATGCCAATTTTTCCTAAAAATCAAATTGGAAAAAACCCGAAACTAAGCCAAAAATGCATTGATTTCAATTCGGAAAGCGTTCCTATGCTAGTTTTTATTGGGTTAATAAATCTGCATACTCAGTTTTTAATTTTAGAAAATTGAATTTTTTGCCAATTTTCGACAATTTTAAATTATCATTTTTTGCAAAAATGGAAATATTTTAAAAATTTGATTCTTCCAGACATGCCAGATCGACTCAGCTGTTGATGCTGATCAAGAATACATATGATTTATAGGGTCGGAAATGACTCCTTCACTGTTTTATAAGCTTCGGAGTAAGTTATAATACCATATTTTATCTATTGTTACGCCAATTTTTGCTAAAAATCAATTTAAAAAATCATAACAAAGCCAAAAAACGTTAATTTTAATTCGGAAAGCTGTCCCGTGCTAGTTTTTATCACGTTAACAAATCTGCATACTCAAAGAAAAATGTTTCTAAATGAAAATGACTGAAATTTAATCCCATTCTTTGAGTAGGTATTTTTAATTTTTATGCCAATTTTTCCTAAAAATCAAATTGGAAAAATCACGTAACTAAGCCAAAAATGAATTGATTTCAATTCGGAAAGCGTTCCTAAGCTATTTTTATTGGGTTAATAAATCTGCATACTCAGTTTTTAATTTTAGAAAATTGAATTTTTTGCCAATTTTCGACAATTTTAATGATGTAACCCCTTATCATTTTTTGCAAAAATGCAAATATTTTTAAAAATTTTGATGTCTTCCAGACATGCCCAGATCGACTCAGCTGTTGATGCTGATCAAGAATACATATGATTTATAGGGTCGGAAATGACTCCTTCACTGTTTTATAAGCTTCGGACTAAGGTTATAATACCATATTTTATCTATGTTACGCAAATTTTTGCTAAAAATCAAATTTTAAAAAATTCATAACAAAGCCAAGAAAACGTTAATTTTAATTCGGAAAGCTGTCCCGTGCTAGTTTTTATCACGTTAACAAATCTGCATACTCAAAGAAAAATGTTTCTAAATGAAAATGACTGAAATTATAATCCATTCTTTAGGTAGGTATTTTGTATATTTTATGCCAATTTTCCCTAAAAATCAAATTGGAAAAATCACGTAACTAAGCCAAAAATGAATTGATTTCAATTCGGAAAGCGTTCCTATGCTAGTTTTTATTGGGTTAATAAATCTGCATACTCAAAGAAAAATGTTTCTAAATGAAAATGACTGAAATTATAATCCCATTCTTTGAGTAGGTATTTTTAAATTTTATGCCAATTTTTCCAAAAATCAATTGGAAAAAACCCGAAACTAAGCCAAAAATGCATTGATTCAATTCGGAAAGCGTTCCTATGCTAGTTTTTATTGGGTTAATAAATCTGCATACTCAGTTTTTAATTTTAGAAAATTGAATTTTTTGCCAATTTTCGACAATTTTAATGATGTAACCCCTTATCATTTTTGCAAAAATGAAATATTTTAAAAATTTGATGTCTTCCAGACATGCCCAGATCGACTCAGCTGTTGATGCTGATCAAGAATACATATGATTTATAGGGTCGGAAATGACTCCTTCACTGTTTTATAAGCTTCGGAGTAAAGTTATAATACCATATATTATCTATGTTACGCCAATTTTTGCTAAAAATCAATTTTAAAAAATTCATAACAAGCCAAAAAAACGTTATTTTAATTCGGAAAGCTGTCCCGTGCTAGTTTTTATCGCGTTAACAAATCTGCATACTCAAAGAAAAATGTTTCTAAATGAAAATGACTGAAATTATAATCCCATTCTTTGAGTAGGTATTTTTAAATTCTTATGCCAATTTTTCCAAAAATCATATTGGAAAAAACCGAACTAAGCCAAAAATGCATTGATTTCATTCGGAAAGCGTTCCTAAGCCAGTTTTTATTGGGTTAATAAATCTGCATACTCAGTTTTTAATTTTAGAAAATTGAATTTTTTGCCAATTTTCGACAATTTTAATGATGTAACCCCTTATCATTTTTTGCAAAAATGCAAATATTTTTAAAAATTTTGATGTCTTCCAGACATGCCCAGATCGACTCAGCTGTTGATGCTGATCAAGAATACATATGATTTATAGGGTCGGAAATGACTCTTCACTGTTTTATAAGCTTCGGAGTAAAGTTATAATACCATATATTATCTATGTTACGCCAATTTTTGCTAAAAATCAAATTTTAAAAAATTCATAACAAAGCCAAAAAACGTCAATTTTAATTCGGAAAGCTGTCCCGTGCTAGTTTTTATCACGTTAACAAATCTGCATACTCAAAG